CTATCTATCTATCTATCTATCTATCTATCTATCTATCTATCTATCTATCTAGATGCAAGAGCTTGAAAGCAAGTCCTGTATGAGGATATATTTGATAGTTTTCAGTTGTAACCTGTTTTCCTGCTAACATGGTTACAAGAGCTCCAACATTAAATCCAATGAAAGCTAATTCTGTTAGCGCTCCTTAATGTGCAAACAGGTAAGAGTCCTAGCTTCCTTGTGCTTCACTTCTCCATGTATGTGCACAGGTGTATTGACTTAATGTTTTAATGAAGTCAAAGATCCCGACTGGTGCACAGACAGAAATTCCTGCAATACCGACACAGACGTGATACAAAAAGCCAACAAACCAAACGAAAGACGCCGTATCATAGACGTGTTCTAACAGGCAGTTCGCGGATTCAAGCACGTTCGGTTCTTACATGGGGGATGTTTTGATGTACGTTGCGTTCTTCATGTGGGGACACTCCACCGTCACGCACTGGAATCCCCCGAAGGTGTTCACGCACAACCGGCCCATTGTGCAGTCGTGCGTCTGGGCCTCGCACTCGTTTATGTCTGAGTGTGAAAGGTCAGAGGTGAGAGACAAATCACATCTCCGCCTGACTCCCCCCCCCCCCCCCCCCCGGACAGGTTCAATTCAATTTTTCAGTTCAATTCTATGTATATAGCGCCACATCAGAACAACAGTTGTCTCACAGCACTTTCCAAACAGAGCAGGTCAGACCCTACTCTGAAGTTAATTACAGAAACCCAACAATTCCCACCATGAGCAAGCACTAGGCGACACAGGCAAGGAAAAACTTCCTTTTAACCATTGACTGCCAGAGTTTTTTGAGCCTTTTATTGTTTTAATATCGCTGATTATGGCTTACAGCTTAAGAAACCCAAATATCCTATCTCAAAATATTAGAATATCGGATTTTGGAGTTTTCTTCAGCTGTACGCCATAATCAGCTATATTAAAACAATAAAAGGCTTGCGATATTTCAGTTGATTTGTAATGAATCCAGAATATATGACATTTCATGATTGTTAATTGCATTACAGAAAATAAAGAACTTTATCACAATATTCTAATTTTCCGAGACAGTCCTGTATACTGTCAGTTCAGTCTTCGATAAACGATCCGTGATCACGCTATCACGCTATCACGCTATCACCTGTCTCCTCGTTTCTTGATGTAAATCAAGGTAAAGACATGACACACAGCTCTAGGAACACCTAGAGCTGTGTGTTACCGGACAGGTAAAGGCCTGTCTCACCTGTGCAGCTGCGGCCGTCCCGGGCCAGGCTGTAGCCGGGGGGGCACACGCAGTGGAAGCTGCCCGGCGTGTTCACGCACTGGTGGATGCACAGCCGCCCGGGCTGGCCCAGCGGGAACAGGTGGCACTCGTCGATATCTGGAACAGACGCACAACTCTGTCACCGGCCTGGAATAGACGCACAACTCTGAAACCGGCCTGGAACAGACGCACAACTCTGAAACCGGCCTGGGATAGACGCACAACTCTGTCACCGGCCCTGACAAAGGTAGACAAACCTGGCAACCAGCCGTTATAGACTCTTATTTGTCTTGTCTGCTACACTGATAACGTCAGAATAATTAAATATGATCAGTAAGGACCCGGGGGAACCAGGACCTTTAAGCCAGAGGGTTCTGGGTTGGAGTCCCAGAGGAACCAGGACCAGAGGGTTCTGGGTTGGAGTCCCAGGGGGAACCAGGACCTTTCTGGGTGGAGTCTGCATGTTCTCCTGTGTCTGTGGGTTCTCTCCGGGTTCTCCGGCTTCCTCCCACCGTCCAAAAACCTGCATGTTAGGTTGTTGGACTCCAAACTGCCCTTAGTGTGAGTGTGTGTGGTTGTTGGTCCTTGTGTGTCTCTGTGTGTGTCTCTGTGTGTCCCTGTGATGGACTGAGGACCGTCCAGGGGGACCCCGCCTCTCCCAATTGGCTACTGGGATAAGCTCCACCCCCCCCCCCCCCCCCCCC